TTAAAAATAAAAAAAAAAAAAAAAAAAAAAAAAAGAAATATTTAAAAGTATGGAAGGAAGTTCCATTTATTATAAGTCAGTGTTTTATGTCATGGAAAAATAAGATTTTGGGCATTTTTGCTCTTGACAGGAAGCAGCAGAAAGACCTGTCTTGTTCCCATTAAGCTATAGAAACTGCTGGTGTTCGTATTTTCAGCATCGTGGCCCCGAGTCAGTACCTTTGTTCTCCCAGCTCTCACTCGTGCTTTTTGTGTGTTTTTCTCGAGTTTTCCTGCCCGTGTTTGATGTCTCCCCAAGCTGTGGTACTTCCACTAGAGGTCGGCTGTGACACACCATCGCGCAGGACCTCACCAAGCCTCTGCAGCTCAGGGGTTACCAGCAGAAAAACGCTGGTTTTCATCTTTTCTGTCACCCAAAAGGCAAAACCAACCGAAAATCTCCACCACGTGTCCAGAGTCCAAAAAAGATGCATAGCTGTTAAACGTAAATAACATACTGCTTTGAAATACACGGCTTGCCTTACAAATCCCCTTTATATGAAAACAGGTGGTACAGCTGAAAAGGACAAAGGTTTGGTTGCATAAACTGGTCTGTAAGTCTCTCATCACATTGACATTTGACTAGTCCAGCTGAACTCACTGAACTATCCGAGATAAGCACAGGCAGAGGTGTTTGCACAACTAGGCAATGATGTAAATTACCTTCATTGAAGTCTGGCAGTGGCTTATTCATTTTTGAACAGGATTATCTAAGAATATCTTCTAGGCTAATGCTATTCCTACCAAAGCCAGTGATAATAAATTTGCTATTGACTTTGACTGAAAGATAGTATTTTTGAAAATCCTGATCTTCTTTTTGGATGCTCCAGAGTTAACAGCCAGGTGTTTTATTGTGTCTGCTGGAAAGGAAAGAAAACAGGACCAGAATGTCTCCTTTGTCACTTTATTACTCCGTTTATTTATTTTTTTTCGGCTGATAATACATAGTATTACTTTGCTATAGGATTTAATATCCGGTTTGGGAAATTTATAACACTACCATCTCCTTTTATGCTTTAGGTTGTCCAAAAATTTAGAAGCGTCTTCTGCAAACAGCAGATGATGAGAACATTTCCAGTTTATGACACAGAGGTTTCTAGGTCAGAAAACTGGGGCATGTTAGATCCAGCCAGGGCTTTGAAAAAGAGAGCCAACTGGATCCCTTTTTTAAAGGTAATTATGAGGAACTTTCCTTTTTCAGTTGTAGTGGTCCTAACCAGTCTTCATGATATACCAAGATACATTTCAGCATTAATGTCTAAAATGTTTCTTTGACAAATAGAGTGATTTTTTAATAATTAAGGCTTTATCAAACTACTATATTTTTGTATAGTCAAGAGCCCCTTTTCATGTCTGTTGAAAAGAAAAAGTCAATGTATTGTGCTTTCCTTATTAAATATTTCCTCCCATACCACAAACATGTAGCAATATTAATAAGTTCTGTGGTTACTTTTATGTCAACCAGATTAAGCCTAAAGTAGATCCCTGGCAGCAAAAGCTTCTGATAAAACTGAAACAATGGAAAAAAGTGGATAAACTAATGGACCTTCATTCAAAATTTGTAGAGGTAATATAACTTAAGGTGATTTAATTTATAGTTATTTTAATTTATTTATCGGACGCTTCCAGCGAAATTGAAATGTCTAAAGAAAAGTTGCCTCAGGTTTATGTATCATGTGTATATGCCCGAATTCATTAAAGGCCCATTAGTAAGGTGTTATAGAGAATATTTCCCCCCCTCTTTCTCAGTTTAATGGTTTCAAAAGGCAGCTTGAGCACTTGCATAAATATTCAAAAGCTCTGAAGTTCACCTAATGCAGGTCAAAATCAGCCCTGGAATTTGTGTCAAAGCGATTGCTCAGAACAGCTTTTTTTTCAGTGTACCCAAGGTTCAGACCTGTGCTCAACAGACAAGGAGAGATGCTCCAATACTGAGGTAGAAGTCTAAAACTTCGTAGGGCACAATGTACAAATTGCTTGTGCCCCAGGGAGAGGTTACTGAGTGTCTCTATTTTGGTTCTAGCTTCACAGGTTCTCTTGATTCTGATGTTATATTGCCATTTTTGCCCATTTTGAGGATGTCCTGCAGGACAGCTCTGTCTGTGCTGCCTGCCATCCAGCCTCCCTGGAAAAATGGCAATATGCATTCACAGATCAGGCCTGCTTTGCATCCACAATGAGCCTGAGGCACCCTTAACACCTCACATCATTGTCTTGCAAATGGTGGTCATCTGGGAAGAGTAGTATTCATTTCTCCTAACTCCATCTTTATTCACCAAATGTACCCTGCAGGGCTGACTTGCATATGCCCAGTAAGCTCTGCTCATTCAGGCCTGCTGCAGATGCACGGATGAACTGCAGGGTGTGAAAGGGCTCCTCAGGTGTACTGGTGTCTTGCCACATTTTTCCAGTGAAATTTTAGCAGATCTCATATGCTCATCTGGAAAACTGGTCTAACAGGAGTTCTCTGCCTCTCGAGGATGAGAGAACTAATGCAATTAAGATGGTGAACTACCGCTATAGGACTGGATCTGTTTAAATATCTCGGCCACCAGAACTGATCTGGCAATCAGAGGGTGAGATTACTGCCTCTCATCCCCCGGGTTAGCCTGAAGCACTATGAACAATAAGGACACCTTGTAGTTCAGCTCCCAGTTTTGCACAGGAACCAGAAAATAAATCCCTTCTCTGGCCCGTATGTGCCCTCCTCTATCAATAATCACATTCCTGATAAATGGAAAGTCCTCAGTGAGCTCTCTTTCTTTCTTTGGTACCCAGGCAGTGTTGGGTACAGCAGAGCAGCCTAAGCCATGTCTCCAGCTCACGTGAGGCTATTTCAGCCCTGAAATGTCACCAGCCTCCTCAGTTCCATAGGGTTTGATATTTAATTTAAATCTTTATTAAAGGCTGCTTGTTCCCTTGCTCCACCTCCCTTTAATGATTTTTTTCCCTCCTGTTTTAATCAAGGTTCCATTTGTTTTGAGTTTTCATCATATTTGTTCAAAACAGATGATAAAGAAGAGTCCTATAAAACTCCTGGTCTTAAACCCCTTGGAATTCCTATCAATGCTTTGCTAGAATTCATATCAACAGAATTTTACTGATGCCAATAATTGCTAAAGCATGACCATGTTCTTCAAATTATACTCTGATACAAGTGGCAATTAAAAAAAAAAATCCTGCAAAATTAGATATGTTTTTTAAAAATTACTTTTGTACTACTTCTAATTTTGTTTAACCTGGTTTTTGGCAGTACTCTCTATATATGTAATCTCCCTGCTTCCCATTTAACATTCATTATTTACTTTCATGGGTCTCACAAAGCATTTGAGAGAGAACTCTTTTTAAATCGCAGAAATCAGAAAGTGGACGTGCAGAATTTGCAGCTGAAGTTGGCTTTACAATATTTTAAATAATTGAATGGATTTGATTTTGATGATAGTCTTAGACAGCTTAGCCATTTACAGTCTTTTATAGTGGTTTGTTTTTTTTTTTTAATTCAGGACTGAAATAAGCTTTCTTCTATGATTGCTGTTTTCAGACCTTTTCCCCATGCCAGATATTTCACAAAGAAGCCATTCTTTTAAATCTTGCCACAGCATGTAATATTTCTGGAAAGCTTGGGCGAAAGACATCATCACCACCACTAACAAAAATAAAAATGGCTTTGCAGCTCACTGAGACAATGAAAAAAACCATCATTCTCATTTTTTTTCCCATAGTGGCTTGCTCACCAAATATGATATGTTTGGGTTTGGTCAAGAAACATGTAGACCTCCTTAAGGGTGAGGGGTAACAGGAAAGGAGAGAGGGGATTAACCAGTAGTCCCTCCCCTCCGTAAATCTCAGAAAAGAAGTGCTTTCATATTCTTTCTTATCCAGTGTATTCCCTCCATATGCTGTGACAGGCAAGTCCATTTCTACATTTTCACCTTGGAGAGGGGGCAGCAGACAATTTTCCCAAATAAAGGAGAAGCAGTAACAAGCAGTGCTGCAGATGCTCCCTCACTAGATGCTCTGAATTGACCCTGACTCTCTGTGATATGGGGGCTGGCACGCTGACTCATTTGCCTTGTGAATCTTTTCTCTGTATTTGATGGTGTTTGAAACAAGGTCTCAGACATAGAGAGGGTGATGGAGGGTCTCCAGGAACACGTGGCAGTGGTGTTTGAACCACGTCCTGCACGGTCAAGTTCTGCCACTTCTGCTTATGCCTCAGGACAGCAGAGCTACGATCATGTCTGGAAGGAGATCTATGCCTGCACTGAGCTCCACCAGGTATTTAGAAGGGGAAATGATGAATAATGATCAATTAACATGTCAGCACTGTTAGAGGGCTCCTCTAACAGATTTCTGTTTGGATACCAATGTTCCTCTTTTTCAAAATTCAGTCTCCTGCTACTGCTGCCAAGCAGGACCTGCCCAGCTGCAATGTACAGTTGCATGCCCAAGATGCATAATGATGTTCTCTCCTCCTTGGGGCTCACTAGCTGCTGTGCAGCCACTGGTCCAGTCATAGCATGAGCAGAGTGAGATTGTACCTACCTAAAAATAACATGTGTACATGCCTGTAGCAGAGCTGGGGTGTGAATTTGACTGCAAGAAATGAAAGCATGCCTAAGTATTTACAGGAGAGTGTGGTATTAGGGAATGGGTTATCATGTGTGTTGGAGGCCATCCAGCAGCTGAGCACCTGTGAACCTGATAGCAGATGCCTGCTTTGTGCAGCAAAAGCACGTTCCTCCTCTCGGGGAGGAAGTGGTGATGTGAGCTTGGCCTCACAGAGGTTTAGAACCTGTGAGAGATCTTCAAGTTTTGTAGAAGGGAAAAAAACCTGCCACAAATGGCCTAACTGTCAGGGTAGTGAATGAGAAGTAGGACCTACCTCTCTGGTATCTGGTGAATTTGTAGTAACTGTGCCATGCCTTATGTGGCGAGCTCTGTGACTAATCTTCTGAATTTGAAGGTATCCCTTTGATGAAGATTGACTTTGATTCCCTATTTCTTTCTTGCCCTTCTGACTCAGAAGTTGTTCATGGCTGCTGCCTTAACAAGTATAAAAGCATTATGCACAGAACTGTTACATCTCAGAAGTTCCTGTATCTGCAGCCCAGTGCTTCATTTGGCTCATTCTACCTGTGCCAGCTGGCCCGCACCAGTGGGCCCTGGTGGCAAGTTAAGAAAAGGCTCAACAATCTCCTTGCTCTGCTGTGTTTTTTTAAAGAGGACAATTCTCAGCTCCTGGGGCTGGATGCAGCCCCAATGTTAATGAGAAGTTCTTGCACCCCTGCTCTTGGCCAGGGCCAAGCAGGGCAGCGAGTGATAGAGGAGCAGGGGAAAGGGAACAGGGGGAGAAAGACAACGTTTAGTATCTCCTCATTCCCTCTTTCCTGCTTTGCCCCAAGCCTGATATCAACTCTGTGTTCATAAACAGAACCGCATTTTTCTCCCAGGAAAAGTTCCCACATGTAAAAACATACAGTTCTTCCTACCTCAGGCTGACCCTGACCAGGAAATATTTGATTACTTAATGAAAACTTCAGGAAAAAAACCCAACCAACATTGGGTTGACTCATGCAAGCTACATGATGATTAATGAAAAAAAGGAAGAAAAACATGATTGCACTGTACATCTTCTGTCAAGTGCTCTGAGTTCACAACTGGGTTAGGAAAGAGTACCTATGAGGGGGCAATGCAAGGGGCATGACTGATCTCAGCAGCATTAGGTTAATTGAAAACCTAATTTTGAAACAGTCTAGTCATGATGCTATAGCAAAGCTAGAATTAAATCCTTCACAAAAACAAGCGCTGTCCACATCTCAGTGTTTTTTAAAAAAAAATTCAGCTGCTACCATTTTTTCTTCATTTTACTGGCATTTTTCAGACAGCACTGTTGATATTTTTTAAAGTAGAAATTTTAAGTGGAAATGCTTTATCCCATGCCTAGTACTTACACTGATTGTGATATTTAATAAAGCTGTTCAATTAATGGTGTTAATTCAGGAAAATATATTTTAATTCTATTTGACCTCACATTATATTAAGTAATAGAGATTGAAGGACCTAGTTTTTCTAAAATTTAAGAAATTAGACCTTTGGAGTCAATGAGGACAGGATGAATGAGGATGATCAGGCTTAATAAGGATAAGAAATCAGTTAACAGATAATCTATCATTGCAAGGATTATGTAAAGAATCCATTGTGTGACAGTTTGACATCAAGATTTGTTTGGCTTGAAGGAATTTTTTGAGACAATACATTCATGTAAACGTTCAAATTTATAGAACAGCCAATGTAGTCCTGAGTTTATCTGTGTCATTTCTATGAGTAACTTTGCTAGGATGTCTCATGTTGAGCAGGATAAATTTGACAAGCACCAATTTGTAGAGATACATTAATAGGATTTTCTCTAATAAAAAAAAAAAAATAAATGCCAAAATCAATGCTATAAACCCCTTAACTCACTGAAAAGAATTCCAACTTATACCATCCAAGTTCAAATGAAGTGATAAAATAGATTGGGACAGAGAAGTGGGTTAAGAGGACAATTTTTTCTTGTGTACTTGATTGTCTGAGGAAATTAATTGGATGATGCCTAGTAAATCGCTGACCATAATGTTCTGCAATTAATAAATATGGTGTGACTCATAGCGATCTTCTCATTTACACTGGTACTAACGCCATCTTAATTCCATGGATGTTGGTGGAGTAACTCCTGATGCATGAGAGAAGGCCTTGATGGAGTTAGCAGCAAGGCAGGTATAGCTGTTTTCCTGCTTGCTGCTCTTCTGCTACTCTTTGTACTACATGGCTGGGTGTGCTGGAAAGGAGTGATAAAAAAACCACCCCAAACAAGTATTGAATTTAATTTTGCAGAATGTTAGCAAGAGCATTTGATATATCTGCTTGTGTTGGGGGTGTTGTGTATACATCACAGTAAAACTTTTCCATGGCCTAGTCTGATGTTACTTCTTTGTTACTACGCTATGACTTTGCTCCATGCTCATCCTATGATTTGCAGGAGTCCAGAAATCTCTTTTTCTTTTATGGCAGGAGGAAAAAGGATGGACTAGGAGGTCAGACATGTCACTCACCGTAGCTGGGTTGAGGTTTTGATGAAATAGATGTTCTGAATTTCTTTGGAAAAGTTCCTCAGTCTGACCCTTACTACAGCCTTGTCTTTGGAACAAGGATAGCTCTTTCATACAGCCCAGGGACTTTATAAGGATAAAACACTAAGGATTGGAAATCAATCAAATATTGTGGAGTTATATACCACGATAATTTCACTGCTGGCTGGATTATGAATTTCATCCAGTGTGGCACTTCCTTTCCTTTTTTCCTTTTGTCGTGATAAAGCCTATGCATAAAATTGTCAAATAAGAGTCATATGCATACTTACCATGCAAATTTTTAACTGTGTGTTGGAACTAGGGACTAACTACTGAGGATGATAACACAGCTGTGGCTCACAGTGGGAAGCCTTCGGCATCTTTCAGAAAGAAGAATGAAAGAGGGTAAAAAATTATTTATATGTATATATATATGTATGTGTATATTTAATAAAACTTGAAAGAAGGAAGAAAAATGATATCAACCTACTGCTTCTCTGACAGAAGCAGTAGTGCTATCCTTTTCCATTATTCCGTACCACAGGTTTCCATGACAGTCAGTCCCGTAGGCAGCAGCAGCCTTCTCTTAGACAACAGACATAGCAAAACTGTCTGTTTTAGAAAGGTTTAGAAATCTCCTTGATTGCAAAAATGTAATTACATTTTTTCTGTCTGGAATAAGGTATAGTTATGTGGGCACCTTACAGCTGCTAGGATTAGAAGAGGACACAGCAGCTCCCCACAGGGAGCATGTGGTGAGGAGAGGAGCCTACTTGTCCCTTCTTTTCTTACGTCACCTGAGACTCCGGGAGCTAAAGGTAAAAAAACTCAACATAAAAGGTGTAGAGATCAGAGTTAATTTTTTCAAGAGGGGGGCTATCATCCAACTGAAAATGCAACTGTGGTTTTCTCGGGTTTGTTTCAGCGAGTGTGCCTGGGGATCCTTAACTACTTCAGGTCTGTGGAGAGAAGCTTGACAATCAGTACTGCTGGCCTCTCCTTCAAGGCTGGTCACCTAATTCCCAGTGCAGAAGACACCTCCTGGGTCAGTGCTGCCAAAGGAGGCACTGGTGGGTTTGGTGGCCTGAGGTCACAGCCGTATATCCACTACACACCAGCTGACTACAAGGTGAGGTACCAACTAGCCTTTAGTCTTCCAAAAAATGTGCTTCAACAGGAGTACCTAATGCAGTTCTCTCTTCCATGCAAACTACATTGTGATCAATTGCTGAATCATTTGAGGGATTCTGTGTAGCTTCTTTCTCAGAACCACGACTCGCCTGAACAGACTAAATACCTGTATCTACCAGTGGTCTGTAGCAAACCTCTGAGAAACTTCAGACACGTAGAAGGGTAATGTCAATACTGCCTGCCAGATAAACATTTACTTAGACCGATGCTGCTGGCTGTGCTTAAACTAGGACCTTTGTAAGTGTGGGATTATCACACAGAGCAGATGTTTCTGAGAAATCTGAGGCATTTTGCAATTTGTGGAAATGCTTGTTTAAGTAACTCCTAATGACTTCTAAAATGTATTATTCAGATTTAGGTAGACTTTAGAACTTAACTGGTTTTTAACCTTGGATGAAGGCGTGTGGCTGAAGTGATATAATTAGTACACTTAGCTTCACAGATTGGAAAAATAATAATTCTAATTAAATTCCTAAGGCTTATCAAACTTTCATTTCCCCAACTTCTTTGTAAAATATACTGAACAGAATTAACATATTATGCTGACATTAGTGGTTTGATGTGATATAGTATTTTGTCTTTTGAGTTGTAGAATTTCCTTGCAGCTCTGCTACCTAACACTCATCCCAAAGTGCTCATGTAGAAAGCCTGAAGCACGATACTATTTTAATAGGACTTTTTTCAACATTTTGAGCTCACATTTATTTCTCATGTACTGAAAACTTGTTTGGTTGGGTTTTTTTTCTGTAGAAACACAGAACCAAACGCACAAGCCACTTCATAGAATTGTGGCTAGAACCAAAAAGGAAGTCGGCTTCCTGCCCCCATTTGTTGCTTATATTAAGACTTCAGGCCCTCCCCTCCAAAAAAAAAACCCCAAGAACCCAGAAAAAAATTTCATGTCCCTAGACATAAAAAAATCTAAACCTGTTTGAAAAGAAAATGTGTGGGGAGAACATGGAATTGATGATATTTTTAAGGTGTCTTTAGTTTTATTTCTAATACGGCCATATTTATCCTTTAAAAATCTAATCAATTAAAATTCCTAAATGAAACGCTACTTGGAACTAGAAAATTATTATTTTCTATTTAAGAAATGTTGAACTGGGTGGTCCATCTTCAAATTTTCAAGTCAGAAAAAGTAATTAAAAAACTTATGTTTTCCAATGGGAGGTGTCAGTTTTCCTAGAAGCAGGCATGGTGACAAAGTCTCCTTTTGATCTCTGCATAATATACCTTTATTTTCATCCCCTTTTTTTCTGTTGCAAAAGAAATGATACAAAGATCAATCCTGACCTTCCATCTAAGCACTCTCTGATCTGGAGATGAGCTATGAAATACTTCAGAAATCCCCTAGCAATAAGAGAGACATTTTTTCTCAGTGGCCTCTTTCCCCTGGACTAATTAATACACATGGATATGGATATATATGCTTGAACTTCAGCTAAAGTTAGATAAATATTTACTAATCATATTACGGTTTAATTGGCAACAAATTTAGAAGCAGGGGCAACAGTAGTTCCTTAACAACAGTTTCTAATGTGTTTTGGGGGTTTTTTTTATATACTGCACAGACTGTCTCTCAAGAACTGAAACAATAATAGAGCCATTTTACTGGCAAACTAATTGAGACTTATCTAACATACTCTCTGGTGCGTGCTATAAACCTGAAGCATATGGCATTTTTTTAAAATACTTTTAGTATCTGGTCTGTGCCTAAAATTGGAGATGTACCTGTGTTATGAATCCCTCCACACTGTAACCTGTGAGCCCATGTGATGGCTCAGCTCACAATTTGCCTGAAACAGATTCTGAGGCAGCGTTGCACCCTCCCTAGCAGACTGCTTGGGATGGAGATCATCAGAAGCATGAGTTCCAATGACAGAAGGCCCTGCAAAACAATGCATGACATTAAATTAAAACTATTTTCTGTCCCCTGTTGAGATTCTGCTTGGAAGAAAGTAGATAAAATATATGTAGGTGCATTAACTGTTGCTTTATAACCCAAAAGGGATTTGTTAAGCCCCAGTAAATCTGAGCAGAGCTAGAGGAGGAAAGCCAAAACCTGCAGGCAAAAAACATCGCACATAAATATCCAGTTACTTGATTTGTTGCTATAGATATATAACTGGGTATTAACATTTTTTATAGGCATAAGTAGTATTTAGAAGGCTTGGGTAGTCTCTTTAAAAATATGGTACCCAAACCAAACATGACAGGGAGAAAGTCTTCATTTCTTTTTGGTTTTGTTTTGTAAGAACTCTCCAGTTTTGTAGTCACATGCCCCTTCTGCAGAATACAGTGGTCTTGACTGAGATTTTTAGGAGTGGGACAGAGCCAGAATCACCAGGAAAAAATTCAAGAGCTTGAAAATGGAGATATTTCAATGAAAGTTTTCCATAAGGATGTTTAAAACCACAACTAATCCCCCCCTTCTACCTGCTATGGTGAAGTCAGCCCAGTATTTGCTCAGTTATTTACCTAAATCAAGTTGAATTTAATTTTTCTATAAAGGGCTTTGATTTAACCTTTAGCAAATTCTGCACCCCATCACTAGGATCGGTGAAACAAATAGTCTGTTCTTAAGAATAAGGAAAGAACAGATAGTGCAGAACACCGTATCAAAAAAAGGAAAGAAATCTGACCAGGCTGATCCAACATTATGTTCAAATTAGGTGTACATTTTGCAGGGCTGCCTCATTAACTTTATGGTAAAGAATGAATTCTGATCCAGCACAGATCTGTGAAGCTGATCTGGCAAGCTATTCTTCCCAGTACATCTAAGTTTGACTAAGATTTCCATGACTAAAACATATATCTTTTCCTTCATCCTTTCTTTTAATAGAATTTGAGACATCTAGATGCTAGCAGGTAAAGTTTGGGTAGCATTGGGGATCTTGTAAAGGCAAATATTAGGAGACCCAGTGAAAGGAGGAAATCTCAATACATTGTGAATCATTATTTGGCACCGAAGTGCGAACAAAGGTGCATTACATACCAGGAAATAGTAAAAACAAACAGTGGAAAATGAGAAGCTTGAATTTGTTTGCTAGCTTCTTACAAGAAGAACCATTTTTAGAGTCTTCTATGGCTATACCCCTGTACCAAGTGTTTGTTTACACTGGGAGATTAACTTCTGTAATTACACACCTAGAGATAGATGTGTGTAATTCCCTTTGTGGCACTCCTAGCCAAGAAACAATATTTTGAAAGCTAACACCACTTCTGCTGACTGCAGTACTGGATTCTTGCCTCGGGTGTTACCAACCTAACTAGTGACTCACTGCCAAAGTAGATGATTGTCTTTTAAAGATGTTGATGTTTTTTTAGAAAAGTAAGATCATTCTTAAGCTATTCTATTGAACAAGTGCTGATGTCACAGCAAGTTGGGACATCACTCAATGGGCGTTCCTTTTAATTAGTTAGCGCTAAGTCTTTGTGTTTGTGAGCTTGTCTCCAAATCTTGCAAGTGTAACTTATCCAAGATGACTTTAAAAAATATGTTGGTTTCCTATTTGTATATCAGAATTTAAGACACTTTTTGCCAAATTTGAGCTAAATTAGAAAAAGGGGGGAAAAAACCCCCAACTTAGTTCAAGAGCTAGTCGTCTTGTTTTGATGCCTTCTTGATGCTTTTTGTGGATTTATATGCCTGAAGGAAAAACTAGGCATGATAGAAATTTCTTACAGTTTGTCTTACTCCATGACAGTATAAATGAAGCCACAGTGTAGGTGTTACCTGTGAAAAATAATACTTTGGCAATATTTGATTTTATTGTTCTTTGCTACTGACAAAAATACCATGCTCCTAGGCCAGGTCCACCCTTAGATATGTTGATTATAAAGAATTGCAATCCTTGCAGAGCTGACTGCTCATATCTCTGTGTCTCTTTTTTCACGGCATAGGTCCACAGCGCTCAGTTCATGGAGTTTGCAGAGGTGGAAAACCATGACGACTTTCACACTAGTGGAGATGGATACATTCACACACAAGACCAGCGAGGGGCTTACATAATATATGATGTGGCTTTAGAGGATCTGAAGGAGCTTGAGAACCAGCTGCTGCTTGTGGCCAGCCAGTACATTGAGAAAGATGAAAGTAAGCTATCTACAGGTCCAAAACACCTGTGATAATTTGGTTTGCTGTTTTCAAAGTAGGCTGATCCTATGACTTCTTGAATCATTGCTGTACTTCTGCAAAACCAAGTTCTAACTGGATTTTTGGAACTTTTCTTTATCCTCCTAGTTAGCTAAGTGATTAATGTGTTACAAAGACCTAACTGAGCATGTGGAATTGCTTGTCACATGTTGTTAGTGTCACAGTTTTGCACCTATTCAGGGTCATAGACCCCAAAGTTATCCTGTAGGGGAAAATAACACAGAAGGGACATTTACAGATATAGTTAAGTAATACAATGAGCAAACACATCTTCAAGGCAGAGAGAGAGAGTCAGAAAAGAAAAATATTAGTAGTTTCTGAATGTCTTTTAATTAATATATTGGATTGATTTTCTGCAGAACTAAATCTACCTCCCACCACTTTTAAACTTTTCTCAGTTGTAAATAAGAAGCTGCAAAATACTTGATGTTTCAGACTTCCTTTTTTCCTGCTGCTTTTTTTTTTTAATAGTAGGAACTGAGTTGAGAAAGACTGTATTACAGATTTCTACAAAGAGCAGCTATACTTCTAGAATAGTGAGGAGGAAGAAGCTTTTAATTGTAGAGTATGGGGGGAGGACCCATGATTCTATGAAAACAGTGAATAAATGCCACAAACAAGTATGATATTCAGAGAAAGGCACAAAATATCTCTTAAATCACTGGAATTACTTTCTCTATTCATAGGATAATGTTTTTGATGTTTTAGTATGCTTTCCTAAAATTGAATGTTCTGATAGAGAATGCAGGGCAGAGCTGAGCATTAAGATGACTAAAAAAGCCTTTACAAACCTATGAATGCCTAAATGTCTGCTAGGAACTCCTTTGAAGTCACCTGAAGGTCCTCATTGTGGACCTTTTCCTGGAGCATCTTTCATATGAGGAGAAGCTGAGAGAGCTGGGACTGTTCTACCTGGAGAAGGCTCAGGAAGGATCTAATCAGTGTATATAAATACCTGTTGGGAGGGAATGAAGAGGGAGCCATACTCTTCTCAGCAGTCCCCACTGAGGCAATGGGTACAAACTGAAACACATGAAATTCCATCTGAACACAAGAAACCCCATTTTTACTCTGAGGGTGATCAAACACTGGCACAGGTTGCCCAGAGAGGTTGTGGAATCTTCATCTGTGGAGATATTCAAAACTTGACTGGACATAGTACTGGGCAAGCCACTCTAGGTGACCCTGTTTGGTAGCAAGGTACTGGATGACCTCTAGAGTCCCTTTCAACCTCAACCATTCTGTGATTCTGTCATGACAGGAGGCAGCCTACTGAATGAGGTAGGGTAGTCTGGTACGCTGGTACAGCAGTTCCTGTGTTTATATGTCACTTCATTATCAGCCTCACACAGCACACTTGAGGACTGATGTGTACAACCTGACCTAGCTCCTTATGGTCCTTCTTGTTATGGTGTCTTTCTGTGTGCCATGGACACAAATTCTTCTAATTCTGACTTCTTCAGTGATCACAGACTTCAAATGACTCCCTTATTCAGTTTTTGAAAAGTAAGACACTTAAAGTCTGGACCTGAAGAGTAGTTGTTGAAGCCTCTTCTATTTACCCTATGGCTGATTTTTTACTCTGCAGCTCTAAGCATTTCAGATTCACTCTAATTGATTTATCTTTTATTGTCAAAATTAGCTCTAATTTAGATAGTATCACAACCAAGAAACCAAAAGATGATGTCTTTAAGGATTTCTCATGGGCTGCTAGTGTAGAAACATTTGTAGTGATATTTTCTTTCCTTCGCAGTCATTTTTAAATTATGAAGACTGACTTTTCTAATAGCAAGCCATCTGATAAGAAAGCTCTCCACTGGGTCTGTACTCTGCCGTGCTATATCTCTTTGTAAAAGTTGTCTTTGAGTAATCCATGCTGCTTTTTTTTTGATCTGAGAACAAAGGTGAGGACGTGAACACAATCCCAACATGACTTGATGCGGTGAAAAATTAAGCTTCTCTTCACTTTCGTCCCCTAGTTTTCTTGTGCTTTCTCCAGCTTTATCTCATGATGTGGTTCTTTTGAACTCCAGCCATTGCCCTTTATCTCAAAGAATATTTGTTAAAAGATGATGTAAGAGATATGTTTAAACCAAATGCCTGGTGCACATGTTCTTTGCCTTGCAGAATACTCTGGGACCCTCCAAAGCTTATGGGACTTGAAATCTTATCCTGGCCTGGGGTTCCCTGGCAAGCAAAACCCACAACTCTGTGCTATAAATAAAAAAAAAATTACCACAAGCTGTGGGACTCTAGGCATATGGAAATCCTTCTGATATTGGCATCTGCTGGTTTTCTCCTTTTTTTTTTTTTTTTTTTTTTTTGTCATTGTAGGCAATGTAACTTGTGAGCAATTCAGAAACAGCAACATTCTTGGCTGGGCACACGCCTCCGTGGATCGATGTGCTGTGTTGCTTGACCTCTGGACCTGTGAAACTGCTTTCTTGGAAAAAAAGTGCCAGGTACAGAAGCTTCTCTTGATCTGAAAATGGTGATTTGCAGTCAGTTCACTTCAGGTTGTGCAAGGTTCTCTGTCAACAGCATTTCCTATTGTGTATACACACGGATGCCAGAGCCAGCATCCATGGGTGGTGGTATGGGTTTCACATGCATTGGGAACCTGCTGCTGGGCTGGGCGCAGGGGCTTGGAGCTGCTGGGTGCTGCGAGTTGGGTTTAAAGAACCACATGTAATGGCTTTTGCAGCAAGAGAGCAGAAATGCTCTTGTTGTCAGACAGCAGCCTCTGTAGCTGCTGTGCCGGGGGCTGGAAGCACTTCCGCAAGGCCTTAGGGAGAGTCACCCACCACTGGATAATTGGGAAGGATAATTGGAAAGGACAAAGCCATCTCCAGAGGAAAACTGCAGAGCATGTTGTGTCCCTCCTTGCATGCCAGGGAATGGAGTAAATGCAGACTAGGAAGAATCAGGTACAGCCCTGAGGAGCCTCGGCCACAGGAAGTCGAAGAAGCACATTTTTTCTGTGGTTCTGGCTGTTCCTGCTTTCTGGGAGTGGTGCAGGAAACTTTATGGCTGTCATTAGAACTGTAATCATTGCATTTTTGTGAAACCCAGGCAGGAGAGACTCGATCTGCAGCTGGCTAGGACCATCATTTGGATTACTCTTTGTCAGAGGGAACCAGAGAGATATTTTGTATGTTACAGCATAAAAATATTTTTATTAATAAACCCCATATATATGATTCTCTCTATATATTATAAATTTATTTCTTCTTTCTTAGTTAATCTATTTGAGCAAAAAATGCCATGATTAAGTACTTGGTAAAACCAACAAACAAACCAACACTAAAAATGTGTATTAAGTGATTCATAGCCTTGCCATTCACAAGAGCTGCTGTGTATCCTGCGGGCTTTCCCCTTCCCCTCTCTGAATCTAGTCATGTGTCTGTATTTTGCCATAGGACATGAAAGCATACCAGGTTTCTACCCAAAGACTTCAGTCTTGAAAGATAAAGAGTAGACAAGTTCAGAGGGAGGGACCCAGAGGAGCTTGGAAGCGTGTTTCTGTCTATGGGACTCACTAGTCCCAAGGACAATGCTGTGAGGGTCAGGAAGTGCAAAGAAGCAGATAGTGCACTTCAGAAGCAGAGAGAAATGGCACCAATTGAGGTCGCCTTCACACACTTGAAATGTTTTGTTCTCAGTCCTGGAGTAACCCAGGGCAGCTCTCAAAATAGGAATGCTAGAGGGTGTTAGGGAATCTCCTGTGCACCATTGAAGAGGCTTTAAATAGAAAACCTTTTAAACTAAAATAGTTGTATGTAGTTCAGGAAATCTCCTAAGGCCACTCTCCCGTTTTCATAGAGGGGCTTTGTGTTACAGAGCTATATAAAATACTGTCTCATTGCCTAGTTCACTAAGTTTCTGCTCTCATCCCAATAGACTTCGCTTTCCATTTCTGTATGATCATGCTGCCTCTGTGAATCTACTTTGTATTTTTATCATGGGCCTTCTGTATAATGAAACTTGCTTTCTCTTTGGAAGAAAAACTCCCATTAGAGAAGAACGAAACCTCTACAGCAACAGTACACTAATTCTCTTCCAAAACCATTAAAGAGTATATTCAGGAACTGCTCTCACAACCCAACTCTCTAGGCAGAATTAAATGTACAGATGTGCTGATGCTGGAGGTCTTTTGCTCTGAGCTGAAATGAAATGGAAGTGGGTCTTGCTAGCTTGCTTTCCAGCTGGGACAGAGTTCTTTCTGAAAGAGGAAGCGATAGCACTTTGTCCAGCAGCTGAGACAGCTTAGCTTAGCCAATATAAAACTTGCTAATGGCCTATTGCTCAAGCACTGTCTTGGCTTCCTCCAGAACAGTTCAGGTCAGGCAGGTCTAAATCAGAGAATTTGACTGTTGAAGTCTGAATTCTCAGCTACTGAATTAACTCCTAAGCCCTTCTGCATCTTCCTTTTCTACAGTCTTCTGATCTCAGTATGGAAAGCAACGTGGATGCTTTTCTACTTGCGTGTCAATGCAAGATAGGCAGATCTAGATAATTTCATATTGACATGACTGATTTGTCCAGAAGCAAGAGCACTGGACATTTGTATTTTCAATCCCCTGATTGCCATCTGACCAAAAAGTACTACAATGTCATCGCAGGAGTTCACATGCTGTCATGCTTGGCACATTTCTTTTTCTGTCCTAAGCTGTGGGTATGCGTAATTACATTTTTTATTTAAATAAAACTTTACAGTTATTCTTGGTAGAGGAGCCTGAAGAGGGCATGCGCCTTTGTACATCTTTAATTACATCTGCAATGAATTTGGAGTTTCTCCAAGAAAATGTTAAGTAACTGTGACAGTCATTGCCAAATGAGATAACAGAGTCTCGGATGAGTCTGCAAGTTTCAGGTTGGGAGAAATGTAATTTTTCAAAGATACGAAACCAGTGTGTGTGCTGGAAAAGAAACAGAGAATGGATTAGACATGGAAAGAAGTAGGTATTTTTAAAGTAGTAAGTACGTTGTCTTGTTACTTTTTAAAAGGAAAAATGTATAGAATAAAAAAAGTGAAAAAATAGGGTTAACTATGCAAGATTTGGAAGAAATTTCTCCTGTGGCCATTTTATTCTATGTTCTGTTCCTGAGCATCATGATGAAGCATCCAGTAATATCCTGTGCCAGAAACAAGGTGCCATACCAAGTCACTCTCGGTTTGATACAGGCAACAAATTCTGTGTTCAGAAATCTCTCCCCAACAAAAAATGAATATTTAGGTGAATAAACATTTCTAAATCTGCTTCTACATGTCTCTTCAGCTTCTAGATGTTTACTTTGAAGCTTACCAACATGCTTTGGATCCAGAGGAAAGATTTGCTTTGGCCCAAGCAATAATTGACATCATGCATAAACGTCCACGGTTTGATCTCAAGATTGAGTATTTTGTCAACACCTACAAAGATGAATGCATCTGTTTGCAACTTCATCTCCAACTGCTGAGGGACATAGTAAACCAACAAGTAGGTTGAATTTACAATATATTCATCTTGGGCAAGTAGGAGATGAAATCAATAATGGGAAACTTTGATTACAGCCTGCATGTGTTTACAGTGTTAAGATGGGTCAATGGTAATTTAAAATGAATTCTGTGGATGCTTTGTAAATTGAAGGCCTGAAGCTCAAGAGCAGAAAACTATCATTGCCTCAATATGAGAAATGAAATTTTGGAAAGATTGCAGAGCTTCATATGTCATGTTAAAGCCACATCTGCTATTGTTTGAGACAATTAGAAATACTAGTTGAGAAGTGGGGAAGCTAATTAACATTATAATCTATTTTTTTTTTCTGTAATGCAGTAAATAAGGAACTAGTCCTGTTTAGAGTAAGAGAGAAGAGACTTTAAAGAGCATGTAAACAAAGTTTGTACTTTAAAGTGCACTTTGAAAAGCAGTATATTTCAGATAGCTGTGAATTCCTGTGCTAATAATTAAAGCACGACATTTGAAATCCTCACATTTTCCCTCTGGTTTATAAATCTGCCTCAACTTTCCTCTATATCCTGCCACAAGATATTTTCTTTCTCTGAGCTTTGATTTCAGAGGTTGCAAGTTGGGAAGTTTAATTAGCTAACCTTTGTAACTTGGCTTTTAGTCCACAAACGGAAGTTTGAGTTTTGATACAAGAGGTTACTGTTATGCTGCTGTTGCCACTAATGCTACCACATTGCTAGCAATAAAAATAGACTATTGTCAACATCGTTTTGTTCTGAAGGAATATGAAAGATTCAAAATAATTTTAGCAGGAATAATTCATCTAGAGTGGGTACATATATAATTGACTTGAAAATTTATATATATAAATAGAATTTTTTGCAGCTTATGTTTAAATAAAGAATAGTTGGGTTTGCCTTGATTTCTAGCTATGTTTGAATTTTAATGGTTAATGTCACGTGCATTTATGGCTGAGTTTTAGATAGATGCCCAGAGGGAATATGTCCACAAGATTTGGCGGGAAGGTCAGAGAGGTGGCATCAACGAATTTGGACTTCCTTGTAATGTGATTACTAAGCAGCTTATCTCTCTTAACACTAGCTGGTGAGTAATTATACAGTTTTGTTTTTCTGGAGAGTAATTCTTTCTGATCTAGTTTCTGTGACTGATTGTAAAAATTTGGGATCCAGCATCTGGAAATAAGACTATTTGAAAAAATGACAGTCTAAAAGGTCAATCAAGAAATAGATAAATGCCTTATGCTATTTAGATAGCCAGAAAAACACTTAAAGAATAAAAGTAATTCCTCCCCCACTACCTTTGTATGACAATGGCTTTGATAATTGCACCTTGCCGTGCACTGGGACATTAATATTCGCATGGGCACAGACTATTAAACAGTAATGATGAAAGTGGCTACTGAGGTTAGCCTTGCTTTAAGCTTGCTGCATCAGTATCCTGACATGGCTTTACAACTTTCACTGCCCTTTGGCCATGGTCTATTAGTCTTTTGAGCACAACTGCCCAGCTGGATGTGCGTGTGCTATGTTTTCACAGGTGGAATCCATACATCACCTGCAGTACAGACCTGCCCCATGTTCCCCATCCTGCAGCTGTGCAGCACTGTGGGTTATGCAAAGGTTTTACATAGCAGCTAATACATACCCAGAAGCCAAGAGCCCCTTGCCTCTAGTCCCTCCTGATTTCCTGCCTCTGTTTCAAGCCCCTTGGCCCTAACCCTCCTCCTATGCACATCTTGATTTTGTGTTGGTTATCTGAGTGCTTATTTTCAAGTGCAGACAGTTTTAATGGGCAGGGATAATAGATGTGAAAATGCAGCTAATAAAACACGTCAACTAACAAAAGAGAATTTTAAACATTTCTGTTTTCATTAGCAAATGAAACTACTTAGATGTGTTCCAACATAATTACGTTTATTAAGGCTTCAGTTCTATTTTCAGATTTGACCATTGATTTCTGATGTGCACTAAAGCCATTGTAATTTATTCTTGCAAATTAAGCAATTGCAACGTTTCTTTATATATACAATTTATAAAAGCCTTATTTGAGAGCTATTCATTCTTTCTTTGTTTTTGTTGCTTTTAAGTCCTACTTTGAAGAACATTTATTTGCTGGAGTTTCACCCTTCTCTTGGTCTGGTGTACTTGATCCCCAAAGCTCTTGAATATATCTACCAGGAATTCTACAGCATCTGCAGACCAAAAACAGCCAGTAAAGCAAGTAATCTAGAAAAACAAGTACTTCAGCTAGTAGTTGATGAGTGGCTAACAATGGAAAAGCCAGAAACTCTTTACAGCTCTCAGATTCAAAAAGATGTAAGTTCCATTTTTGTGTTAGTAATGACTTTTTAAAGCAGAACGCCCAAGACACTGATCTTGCTAGTTCATTTATGCTTGCTGGTTAAAGTTCTAGCTATGTGATTCTTAATTCGCTTATCTGCTTATGATTGGTGAAGATCCATTCCATCCACCTTTAAAACAAGAATTTTTTTCTGTAAATGAACACAGAAAGGTAGAACTCTTCATTTCATGCCAGTATAAAGTAGGAACAATCAGCCTAATGAGAAGGAAAATAGTTAAACTGACATGAGATCACGGTAAGTCTCCAGGTTTTGCATTTGTGTGCGTGTGTGTACAAACTGAAAAAAAAAAAAACAAGATTGTACATTAAAGCAAATATTGTTATAGGTGGAGCTGGTTATTACTGTAATGTCCACCATTTCCTGGTGTAGGACTCTGAATTTAGTTGGCTATAATTTTGATAAATGCTAATTATTGTGAATGAAATTATTGATGCTAGATGTCTCTATCAGCTTGATTTTTTTTTTTTAATTAGCTTAGTTGTTGCTGAGAGCAAAAAAAAGAAAATAAATTATTTTATCTGTTTTGTCTACAAGATCGTGATACAGCTTTGCTTTGGAGCATACATTTCAAGTTTGGGAAGACTCAGTAGGTAGTGATATGCTGTGCTTTCATTCCTGCCAAGTTTGGCCAACATAAACTAAAATAAAATATGCTATTGCAACAGGAAGACATTATCTGAAGTTTCTGTGTACCCTGGTATATCTATCACCTGAGGCAAATCAGGGCTTTTCACTGTCCCTGCAGTAATAGCTCTGCTGTAAGCGATCCATGTTTGATTTGGGTCTGAGCAGTGAAAGTGAGTACGAGGAGCTGTTAGCCTGCACGGTCACTCGTGTTGCCTTCACTGGAGGCAGCGGAGGAAGGTGGAGGAGCAGATCACAGGGGAGATGCAGCAGCTCTGTTAATGGAACAGGAGCTGGGCAGGAGCGCAGAGAAAATACAGCTGGCTTGGTAAGTGGGATGGCAGCCCAGTAAATAGGAATAAGGATTGAGGTAGATGAAAAGCTGGGAGACAGAGACTAGGTCTAAGATCCAGTGGGTTTCTTCCTTTTGGAAGGAAAAGGTACAGGGTGAAAAAGTGCACTGCAAATTGGGGCTGGGGCAAGGAGACACCTCGGGTGGGGTGGAGGGTTGAGAATTGTTTGGTAAAAAAATTGGCTTAAGCTGCCCAAAACCAGTGATAATCAAGGAGTGAGGATGAAAATGAAAAGTTTGAGGCGTGGAAACAGAACTGGTTAGATGAAGAGACTGTGAAGACGGCGATGGGTAAGAAAGTATAGAGGCAAACTAAAGGCAGAAAGGCACAGCTTCCTAGGACACTCCCCTCCCTGGCCTGGAGCAAACCGCAAGAATTACTTATCCAGCATCTCTCTGCTGCCAATAAAATCCACCAGCAGTGTCCCACTACTCTCTTGTCCACAGTAGATCACAATTCTTTGCTTTTTAAATTTTAAATCCTAGAAGTCAGTGGCAATGTTCTGTGATGGATCTTAAAGTTACCACACTGCTGTTGCTGAGGGGGGAAAGGAGGGGGTTTGTTGTGTTTACTTCTTGCCCATTCCTTTTCCTCTAACAGAAGCTGCAGATGAGACAAATGCAGGTAAGCAGGCAATGTTTAGAAGACACTAAGGTGGTAAAAGTCTAACATTTAAATTTTAGGAATTTACCTTTGCCAGAGCAGATTTAATTTGGTTTCCTTTTGCATAGGCATGATGATGCAGTCTTTACATGATCACATATTGTTTTCTTTACCACTTGGTGTGCTAAAATCAACATTTCTGTCTTTCCTGGACTGCTCCTTTTGTGACCCTGGATCTCATTCTTTCATGTTTTTCCAACCTTTCACTAAGGACGGTTTTACAAGATCCAATTTTTATTCCCCATCTGACTTCTTAAGCATCTTTCAACTTCATAATAAACAAATTACCCAGGGGTGAGGTACAGATGCTGCCAGCCTGGGAACAGGTGCTTTTCCTATGTACAAATATCAGAGTGACCATATAAAAAGAAAAGTGAATTCTGGAGTTAGAAACTAAATGGTCCCTGGGAACCTGTGAGATCTCTCTTGCTCACCCCAAGTCAGGATAAGCTATACTTATGTTATTCCTATGAGATAAATAGCTGTCCTGTTCTTAAACACATCATGTGATAGACTTTTTCAAGCAGTCAGTTGTAGTGCTTCACTAGCTTCACCTTTAGCAAGTTCTCCTTAAAGTCTAGCACAGATGTGTCTTGCTACAGTCTAAGCTTATTACCTCTTCTCTTCTCCTCTTTGGAAATAGGGAAGATACTATTCTCCTTGTAGCAGCTCTTTGAAGAAGCACATAAAGATGGGTTGTCCTGTCCCACCCATCCAGAGTCACAGAATTACAAAAGCGTGTTGTAAAGCATTGGGGAAGAGGGACAAAATGAAGTTGCACAACTTCTGACACTTAACTTTTGGGTGCTGTCTTTTCAAACTTTTTTTTTTTTCCCCCTCAGTGGGGCTGTGAAGGTGTAGCAAATGGCAGGTGTTGAAATCTAGACTTTTATTACTAATAACTGCACAACTGAGTTCAGATTTCCTCATGATCTGTGATTCATTGGTCATAAGCAGCAAATTGTGAAGCCACTCAGCTATAGCAGTGGCCACATCTATCCTGTCTGACATGAGCAGGGTGGCACAGTTGTACAAGCTGTGACAGCTAGAGACGAGGACCATCTTCTCTACACAGAGCCAGGAGCTGTTCCTGCCACCACTTCCACAGCACAATAGCCAGTGGACCATTGTCTTCTTTCTAGCTCTTCACGTTACCAAGCTGCAGCTTTTGATCATTTTTCTTTCCTGGGTTTCTGTTTTTTGGAGACTTCCACTGTCCCAGTAGAAAAGGGGTTCCAGCTCTGCTGAGTTAGCGGACTGTATAAGTTTGCTGTCCCCATTTTGGGAACATCATACGTACAGTGGCGCATGTACTAGGATCTGCACACTTTTTAGAGGAGGAATGGACTCAGCTAGTAATAAGTGAACCAAGTTACAGATCCTCTGCTTTAGAGAGGTATATGCATCTGAAAGCCTTCTGAATTTTGATTATAATAAAAAAGGCAAATATGTTGTGTTCAATATAAAAAATAAAGTCCTTTGAGTAAAGTCAGGTTTATAGATTCAGTGTCTCTACTTTCAAAGCAAGTGGCAAAACACCAGTGTATTTTTAGGGGTGAGGATAGGTCAAGGTGGGCACAATTCTGACCTTGCATGGGTTGCAAGTCAAAAGCAACTCCAGTCATGATTTACTCCAGAAAAAGGAGAACCATCCCCTAAAGTATTTAAAGACCTTTGTCGTCTGTATTATAAATGATTTCTCTGTTTCCCTTTTTTTTTTTTTCCCTTTCTGTGCAGTTATTTGCTGAGGTACTGATAGAAGACCCTGTGATGGTGCAAGAGATTGCTTTGTCGCTATTAGAAGTGGGAGTAGACGAAGAAAAAAAAACAGGCAGAGAAAAACAGCTCTTTATCCTGGATTCCTTCTCCGTGCTCATGGAGCTTGTCACGCTCCGCCATCGGCTGATAGAGGTGGCAACAGAGAGTGCGCAGTTAGCCAGGTTAGTGGGTCAGTATTGCCATTTTAGCTATGGTGACCTCAGAGAGGTGTGGTTTATAGAGAAGAAGTAATATTTCTTTTAAATAGACCACTTCCTATAGCTGGAAAAAACCATAGCAAGAGGAAGAGTGCCTGTGTATGTGTTGTGGGAGATAGGTGCTTGTTACATGGGGATGGAGTCTACCTGGGGTTTGCAGATGTTCATTAGTTTCAAAGGCTGAGGACACGCTGCTCCTCAAAGCTTAATAGGAGAGACCCTTTTGCAGTGAAAACACTGAAATTTTGCCAAAAGGAGGAGGGGCAGGAGGAATTCACTGATCAAATCAACACAAAGATGCCTTCTTCTGCAGGTTTTACACAGATGATTATTTTAACTGCCTTCTGAAGAGTAGTGCAATATAAGAAAAGGCACACAAGAAGTACAAACTTTGTTCACTACCAGGGGTAGGAAAGCATAAAAATTGTTCTGGCTATGCTGATCTTTACAATGATAATGAAATAATCTGCACAAGGGGAGTCAGTGTCATGCATTTATGGAGTTATCAGCTGGAGAAGATGACAATTTGTACAGGAAGACAAAGGAGATAAGGGCTGAGCTAATGGGGAGACTCCAAAGGGTAGTGTTGAACTACTGGCTTGGAGACAAGTTATTGGTGAAATTCCTATTGTTCAGCTCCATATTACTTGACATTTTTATTAATGATCTCAGTAGAAAACATAAGAGGGTGTTATTAAATTCAGGACGTTGTAGTGCTGGCAGATAAAACTGATATGGAAAATAAATGGAATATCTTTCAGGAAGAACTCATAGTTCTAAGGACTGGAGTAGTAGAAAGGAGATAAGCATCAATAATAACACAAAGTTTAAGGTTATGCATAATAATAGGAAATTCTCCTGTGAACTTTGAGCTTATTAGTTGGAAGCAACAGAGAAGGAGAAAGAACTGAGTGTATAGCTGGCCATGGGATGATTGTAAACTGCCAACATATAGCAACCATGGCGGGGGGAAAGCCATTGTATCTTACTGTGAATCATGAAATGAGTTTTGTAACCAGTAGAGAGAGGGAGAATTGATGGCGTGTACATGATTCTGGTGAGGCCTCACCTGGATTATTAAGTATAATTTGGAGATTTGTGTTCAAGCAAGATAAGATAAATTCAGATTGGAATGGGAGCAAAGATGATCTAATAGCACACTGAGGGGAAACAGAGAACACATTTTACAAAAGCAAATGAAATATCTTGGTTTGTTTATCCTAGCAAAATGAAGGCTGAGAGAAGATAAGATTGTTCTCTATAAATATACCAGGAAGATAAGCACTGGGAATGGAGAGGAGTTATTGAAGCCAAAGGCCAATTTTGGCAGCGGAACAAATGGATCTAATCACTGTGAATAAATTTAAGATGGAAATTAAAAGGGAATTTCTAAGAATTAGACAACAAAGTTTGCAAAGGGTAGAAAACTAAGAGTTTAAAATGGGGTTTGATTCATTTATGAAAAGGATTTGTGGGACATGATTGCTTGCAATAGCAAAGTTGGATGTGTGGGATAGATGACATTCTAGTCATGGTTTTTCTTTGTCTTAACCCTTTCTCTAGCTTTCTTCTTTAAAATTTAGAGTCTGTATCAAAAAGACAGCAGCAGTTATTTTCAGCAGTTGAAAACCTAGACATCTTTAAGATATGTGAGCCAAACTTAGTTTGCTGGAAAACCTAATTTTCCATCACAAGTCTTTTCCATTAAAATAAGAATTTCTTGAACTGTCATAAGATATCTGGAACTTTCTTGGGCAGACTAACAAACGGGTTAATTTACTTCAACCCAAGCAATTCCATGAAGCAGGAAGGTCTTTCTTGGCAATTTGTGTTTCTTATTTGGATACTCAGCTTTCTAATAAAATACAGATTCTTGTAAACTTCTTCCACCAGTGGAGTTATCTCTGTGTTCCTTCACTCATACACATACGTACATACAGCACATACATTTTCTGGTAATTAATAAGGGGTAAGGTTGCACTGCAACTTTTCACTTAGCTGAAAAATCAATATCCAATCACCTTTTTTCATTAAACCTGTAGGAACTTAATATCTTGAAAGCCCTGTCTCTGTGTCAGATTTCATTAATATTCACCAACTGATTTAAAAGTTATCCTGAGGAGACAGATGAGCAGACTGGATCATCACATGGCTGCATTTCTTTCAGGAACAGGACTAAGAGAACATACTCATCTGAGGTGACATGCTTAAAAATCCCTGAAAAAAATAGCGGTAAATTGTCATTTTCCAGGATGGGAACTCAGTGGAAGGTGAAGATGGTTACATCAGTCTAAATACCAGTGTGAACCTAAATAGTTTATTTAATGTGACATTTTGAGGTGCTATTTTTACATCTTCTTTTGATGTGATGAAGTTCACAGTTCATTATAATATGAACAGTTAGAGACTCAGATTCAGGCTGAAACATCAGAAAGGTTAGTGATCTTTTTTCTTGCTAAGCAGAGTAAAATGAAGAGAGTACACCTATGTCTGTGGATTCCTCTACCTCATACCATAGCTTCTGTCAGGCTTTTGTGGGGACCTGCCAGAACTACTCCTATTACTTGACTGTCTCTCCATTCCTGGAGTGGATGGTCATTCACATCTAACAGTACAAATTATGTTTGGGCATATGTTTTATGCCCTGTTCTGTACAGCCCTTGCTGCTTCTCTTTGTTCCTCAGTGTTCCTCAGTTCCTCAGTATTCATTTTCTACTATCTATTGAAAAGGGACATCCTTTGGTACAATAGTAGAGCTAGACAGTGCAGCTTTAGTCTGAATTCAGCTTGTTTCTGGTTTTGTTTGACACAATCGCCTTTTTAATATCTTTTCTTTTTCTCTATTTTTCCCCTTTACACAGTACTGTATAAGCTGATTTGTGTGCTGATGTCTGTTCTGTATAGGCTATTCGTATGTCTATACTGGTCAACTGAGAGAGCAACATTTATAATAATAACACAGAGCTCTTCGTTTCAAGACCTTAGAGTTGATATTGGTTGTTCTCCATATGATTATTGATTGATGCTCACTGTGTCTTTCATGTATTATTATGTCTCCTTCCCTTTTCTTTCCCTTACTTTGCAGGCAGGGAATACTGCCTGATTTTAAAGGACTAAGAGTTATGTCTTGTAGGTCCTATTTGTGTCTTTATCACATGCTCACAACATAGCTTCTCTGTGACCTGATTTCTTGACTGATAAAACACCTGCCTCATGTTAGGAGGAAGCAAGAGAGTATCTTATTCCTTTGCAGTCTGTATCAAAAAGCCAGTGTCTTTCTTTTTAACATCTTCTTACACTATATGAGAATAGCCATCACAGGCCAGATCAGTGTTTCTGTGGCCTTCCATGTGAAGGAGTGCAGTGATGGATCCATAGGGAGGGATTACATAAAGCAGGACAGTGCCCAACTTCTGACACTTGATGCTTAAGAGATTTCCTGAGCTAGTGGTTGCATCTAGACCATGTGTTTACTGCCTGCTGATGGACTGCCCCCATAATTTATTATATAGGAGAGGTTGTATTGGGGTTGTGTCAAACTGGGGGCTTCTAGAATGAATGTTTCTTAAGCTATGAAGTCACTGTTTTAATAGTAATAATGTGTATGAGCTCTGCTTGTCTATAGAAGCTTCCTTTCTGGCAGACAGTTCTCTTCCCAATTTCTAGTCTAAAATAATATTCTTCATCTCTCTGCCATATGCAGTCCTTTCGAAATAGGAACATTTAGCACATTTCTCTTGATTTTCCCTTATGACATTGTAGACTTGCAACTTATTGTCCTTTGTAAGTGCTGTCTGTGTCAATCAAATGGGCGATACTAAGCAACCATCTGGGTACAACACTTGTTTGCTTCATATCCATCATACTATTTCAGATATCAAGAAATGTTTTAAGTTGAATGCAGGTGTCTCATGAAATGAACCTGATGGATGTAGGTTTCTAGATGTGCATTGCTTACAGCAGAAAGACAGTTAATTTTTAAATGCATCCATCCGTGTTTGTTTCTAGGTTTTATAAGGCTTTTGCAATGGAAGCAGGTTTTGGGGAGTTCCATTTGTACCTGAGGCCTGTGCACTTCGAATCTGCATCTCACAGGGAGAAAGCAGACCACCTCCCACCAGTATTCATTACATCTCTCCTGGAAGATGACAGCTGTGTTGACAGGTAGACTGAACTTTTTTTGTGTTCCACAAGGCATGGATGGGATCAAGCCTTTAGTCTGCCTAGGCTCACATATGAGCCACAAAAAATTCAGTGTGTAAAATACATAGAATTATTCAGGCAGAAAATGTAAAATGCTGCATGATTTGTTTCCTTTTTGTATGGTGTCTGGGATTGAATAATGCTAATTTAAAGCTGTTGAGCACTGAAAGTGAGGAGACTCTGAATTTGTGTGGAACGCTGGCAATTTGGGGACTAAAGTGCATTTTCTTTCAAAGGGAGGGATGCTTAATGGGGCTGGCCTGAAAGTGATTGCCCCAAACCCCATAGGTAGTAAAATGGGACCTCAAAACCTGTTGTGAATAAAGCCCTTATTCTGAGCACGAAGAACACTTGGTCTTCTAGAATTATACTGCAATTCACGAAGTGGCATCTTTGATCATTGTTTTTCAGCTTGGTGGCTACTAGATCTAATCTCTGCATAAGGAAAAAGCTAATTATAATCTTCCCTTTTCCCCTGGGGAAAACAACTGGAACAAGTAGATTTTACATTTGCTTTGATTTACTCTTTAAAGAGTTGGTAAATATGTGTGTGTGTACACATACATAAATTTACTGGTTTGTGTGTGTGTCTTTGTGTGTCTTAAGATCAAGGTTTATGAGGAAGAGAGGAAATAACATGTGAATTCTCTTACTAGATTCAGGGAGGGCATCCTGTCAGTCGTTCCCTTCCCACCGGTACATATACCACCTGTGTCCCGTGCTGCTGTTTGCACCCTGTTCACTTGCATACACTTTAGTCTGCTGTGAAAACCGGGCTGTTTCAAACAAGTATAGCAATTGCAAAAAACCTGGAATGAAACTTCAGCTCCTAATTGAATTGGGGCAGTGATGGATATCAGAGCCTAGAAGACAGTACAGCAGCATAAAAAAAACACATTAGGAATCAATACTTGAAACAAGGCATGATTAAACTGAACAAGCGGATTTTTCACTGGTTTAGACCATGCTCATCTAGGAGGAGCTAATGAGTCATTGTAAAGCGAACCACAAAACATCACGAGAATATGTTCTTTTTCTTACGAAACTACTTCTGAAAACTAAAGCAACATCCTAATATCACTAAACTAGGGACTACAGTGACCAATTCCATTATGTGTTTTAAATTTAAAGGAGGAAAGAAATGAAAAGTATTTCTGAATTTATCACTAGTCTCCTTTCATCCTCAGTTTGACTTCTTTCTGTGCCATACTCCATGTTTATAGATAATTTTGCTTCTATTGCAGATATATTCCATCTAGCTTACCATTAAGCATTCAAGAAATCGACAGTCATATAGGAAAGTTTAGTTTCCGTACAAGAGATGGTGTTATGCAGGTGAATGATTTAATTTGCTGAATAAACAAAAAAAAATGTGTATTACATTATTATGTATTTGCTAAAGTATGTAAGGGCCTCAGTCATGTGTTTACTAGACACTATAAACTTCTCTACTGTTTGTCTTTCTCTGAGTGATACTATGATTTAGTCCACTGTTTTATAATTAACTTCGTAAAAATGCACTGAAAATTTGATTGTTAATGTCGCCTAATCCAGGAATCCTTACTAGGATGAAACTCTTTAATCAGCAGAGTTTAGTCTGAGGAACTTTGTTAAATAAAGCAGGATGCCTGTGTGTGGCTGTATGCACACATAGTAGCAGTATTTGGTGTAGAGAGTTCTGTAATGAAAGAAAATGACCTTAGTCTTCAATGCTATTTTGCATACTTAGTCTTTTCCTCTTTGTACAAGTGTATAAAACCAGCATCACAGACTGCCAGGCTGTGGAGATTTCTTCTTTAAACCTCTCCACAAAGTTGTCTTCTTGCCATCAACTCAGTCATGACCTGTACTCTGCAGCAAGGTGGCATGTAATTAAAGATTTGCCAAGGAAAACCAAATATGTTTGATTTGGTATCTACTCCTTTCCCAGCCTGTTTGCACTTGGCTGCACTGTCTGGCACCCTCCTGCTCTACAGAGTAGAGCTGAGAATACAACTCACTAAATACAAATGAATAAAATGCTTCCTTGATCTCTACATTTTGTCATGTTTCAATGATAACAATGTATACAAATATAATAGAATGCTCTCCCTTACCCCTCTCATTAAGTTAAGCTGCTGCAGTACCACAAGACAGAGAATGATGTCTGTGAAGTAGCCTGTCTTTTAAACAGCAGAGGAAATGCCTAACACATTATTTTCCCTCTCCTTAGCTCTTGCGTCCATCTGGAATAAGGAAGATGCAACTTATCCTGGCCTGTCAGGTCATTCAGAAAAATGTTCTTTTGGCAGCTGTTCAGCAAGCCTCTTTTTGTTACTTGGCCCAGCCTCCCCATACCCTGGACATAAAGGTCAGTGGCATCTTTTTCCTCACATTGCACTAGTAATAATGGGGTTTGTGAGACTTAGCCCAAAGAGGATATCTGTTAATTCTGCTTATAATCAATTGGATGGCAGTCCTGCGCAACATTTGGAACAGCATCACTGATGACTGCAGGGACTGTGGTGATTGTGTATTAGCATATGACATAAAAATAAATGGTGTCACGTCAGTGATTTATTTAAAGTCTATTAGTTGGGTAAGTGATGAAGCATAGCTAAAAATATACCTCAAGAGAGGACTGAAAGAGCTTGGAAATTAATTGAATTCAAAAGGCACGGGTGAAATCTTATAGCCTGTGGTATGCAGTAAGGCTAGCAATCACAACCTGACCTTGAAATATGCATTCTTCTGGGATAGCGAAACCATCAGTTCCCACTGCTTTCATTTGTCCTGTCTTCTGAAAACAGAAGTATGGTCAACACTATTTGCAATAGGAAACATTCATGTCAACCTGATGCCATAATATTGGTTCAAAAGCTACCTGCCAGAGTCACCTGTTCCTCGTCTTATATTTGGCTTTTTTTTTTCCATCCTGTGTTTAATCTATGATGCTCAGGAGCTGCCCTCACTTCACACATGCTAAATTGTTGTAGGGCTCTGTGTTACATTTTCTTATGCAGCTGTTGTCTCTCTTCCAGAGATAGTTGCATTACAGTGATGAGCTAAGTGACTTCGTATGCAATTTTGAATTCATAAGCAAATAGAGATTCTTTAGGGCTTGTCTTGCCTTCTCTGTGCTTATATTGACATCTCTTTCCATGTTCCTTAGGACACCCCATCCATCCCCCCTCAGTCCCCTTTTGCATCCCCGATGCTCCCCAAGCTCAATCCCTTGCCACCAGGCAGTGTCCTCAGCTCATCCTGTGTATGGGAAGTGCCCATGTTTTGCTGTCTAGCTGGGCAAGAAGCACCGTGTTTTGCAGCAGGTTTGTAGCTGTGCACATGCTGACAGCCTGGCTGTCATGCTGGGAGCCCAGCTGGTCGCTGCCTGCTGGGAGCTGCGCATGCCAAGCAAAATGGCCAGGGATCAAACTCTCCTCGCCTTTTCCATGAGCAGGGGCTTAATGCTCATTTTGCAAAACTGGAAGGAGCTTTATACCTTTGAGACCTCTGTTCTTATGTCAAATGTATTTAAAATGAGTCAGAGGGTTCAAAAGTTGTTAGAGGCAGGTTGAACCAGCTAAGGGAATGAGTCTAAAACATTTCCTGTGTGACATCAGTTTCTTTCTGAGTTTAAAAATGAAAAATAGACTTATCATGACTCTCTGTTGTTTCATTTTCTGTTACTCAGAGCTGCAGCATGGAGAGGGAAAGAAGCTGTGCCTTGCAAGCTTCTGAGCATGAATTGCTGTTTCTAGAGCACTGTCCTATACAGTTTCTTTTCTTACACCGGAGGAGGGAGGTCCTAGGGCCAGCACTCACCCCAGAGACTGTCAACCGCACCAGAACAAACTTGTTTCACCACTGCATGGTTTGCATCACAAACTTGTTTCACCACTGCATTGTTTGCATCCTGTCCCAACACGAGCAGCACAGTGATTCTGCACCGTACAGCTGAGATCCACTGGCCCAAACAAACTGATATCCTGATGGCCCACCAGGAAAAACCTCAGTATCGTACGGTCAGAGCTGCCTGCTTGCTGCTGAGCAGGAACCCTTGCACCACCAATCTCATGCAACTGTTCACAGCACATGGGCCATGTCCCAGGGAGCTGGGGCACTCTGCAGTCGCTTGGTGGGCACCCAGGTGTTGGTTGGTAGCTGGATGGCCGGCTGTGCAGCCTCCTAGGGCTGGCCATGGTCTAGTTTATCCCAGAGACCGGTTTCCATTCCCTCTCACAGAGATATCTGAGATTCCCTGTCTTCATTTCTAATCAGATTCTGCAGCACTGAAATCCTCAGTGGAACTGAGCAACCTTGGTTTCTTTCCCAAATTGATCCTCTGCACTGCCATATAAAGCACTGGTGCTGTGTGTCTCTGCTGATAACCACAAGTAGTCTTGCTCTGGAAACAGCTCTTCATCCTCCAGTTGAACAGGACTGATCTTCCAAACCTTTGGAGCTCTTTTACTGTCTAAATGCTGAATGGTTTCTTTTCCACAGAATGGCAGTGACTGTATTTTTCATTTTCAGATGTCTCCTCTCCTCTGTAAACCATTTAATGGCTGCTGCGTCCGTTCTGGATCAGTTTTTGCTGATTTATAGTCAGTGGGTATTAGCTAACTAATCGAATTCACACATAGAGGACAATTAATACAACCAACAGAGGCAGTGATAAGGAGGTCATGCATCTGTTATTCCAGATTAACATGTAAAACTGGAAATAAACTTGTATAACCTCCTTACATAGGAAAGGGAGATGGTTGCAGGATGTCACAGGCTGTGTCTGCACCAAGGGACCCACCAGTGCTGTGGGTGGTATACTTGCCCACCCAACACAGACCAAGACCTGTGGCATCTCCCTTCAGCCCATGTGAAGGAGAGCTGGTTGTGTGATGCCAAGGGAGCTGTGTGCTTTGCAACACCCGCCATGGTCTGGTTGGTTGATAGCCAAGACCCATGGACTGTGCCGTGAAGGGCACAGGCTTAACCAAGCCAGTCTCACCATGCAATAAGCCGTCATGCAGACCAGCCTGTTTGATACGGCCCTAGGATCTTCAGAATGCCAAACTCCCATGTATTTGTAACCTCAGTGCCCAATTTTTCCGTACTGACTTTGTTTATAGGCTGAAATATTTCTCGGGAATGAAGACACTACTCACGTCTGCCCATTTACTTCTAAGGCAGTTGCCGACCACTGTTTTTTTAATACATGTTGTATGTTCCCTATGTGCAGACAAGCAGGAAGAATTGTTTTCTGGGCAGTAAGTCCATTTTCCGCTACAACAGAGCAAAGGTGTTCTTTAGTAGAGCCATGTGCAAGCTGTCACTAACCCAAGCCTAGCTAGTACTTAGTTAGGAGAAGGAACTCAAAACTCAAAACGTGGCCTTTTTTTTTCCTATTTTGGTCTTTATCTTTCTCACTATATGCAAAAGACAATAGGCCTCCTTGACTTGCAGGGGAATTATTGTGCTTTTTTAGCTCCCCTGGTCTTCAATGTGCTTGTGCCACTTTTGAAATACGACTTCAAGAACTTGAAAAAGTACCACTTGTTCCTACTTGAAAATTAGGATTATTTTTATATAAATATGCAGAAATTTCTGAGGTTCCTTCATACCAGGAGCCACTGTGACTTAAAAAAGTGGTGTAGGGGGAGGATGAGTGTAGGTTTTTTGTGTTTGTGGGGAGGCAAACTGATTTTCCAGACAAGTGATCTAGGTATACAATTATTTGTACATATTTGAAAACGTGAATATCTGGGAATATTCATACTTTATTTGCAGTTGATTGAATGTCGAGAATGTTGTTTGATTTATAAATTGGGTACTGCCTCTGAGTCTGCTACTGCTGCAGTTTCATTATGCCTGTGCTCAATGAGAAATGTTTTTTTTTTTTTTCTGTGACTTTCAATGATCCCAGTGAATTATTATATCATAAAGCTAGGGTAAATGAAAGCATACAGAATTGCAAATCTGCATTGATTTAGTAGGAAGAGCTGCCAGTCTTTATGAGAGCAAGCACAGAATTGATATTCATGATATTTTAGGAAGGAAATGTAAGTCTACCAAGTCGGAGCAGTTCAGCAAGTGGAAGAAATTCATTGTCTGGGAGTGAAACAGAGGATCAGCTGCTGCAAGCAACCACACCGGCCACTTCTTTTTCTCCTGGGCATTCTCCAGGTTTACTCTGTACCATTAAAAGGTATTTGTTGCAAACTGGCCAAGCCCCCTCCACTGGGTGGGAGTCAGTCTGGCACGTGAGTGAATCCCGAGCACTGTCCGGTTTACATTGCGCTGGGCTTCCCCCACGAAAAAATATAGCGAAGGGCTCTCAATCGTAAGGGCACGTTCACAGATGCCCTTGGTGTTTCTTGGTGTGAATTGGTGGTCTGAGCATTAACATTGTCTCACCATACCCTGTCGATGGGACTCTGGCTTCACATCAAATGCCATGGAGATAACCTGTTAATAAAAGGAGGAAATCTAGATACCTCATAGGAGTTTCTAAGCGTCAGTGAGTTTACAGCTGAAAACATTGCAAAATTATGACAAATAAGGATAAGGGCATTAAACATGATTTTGCTCCTCCTGTAGAACAGAGCTTGGTCTTGGTGCTTGTATGCCCACTTACTAGCTCCTCGGCCCAATTTCCTGGCTTTTACATGGAGTACTGTGCACTAACAGGGTACTGGCAAGACACGGTTAGAGCAATTTTTTGTATTGTTCAGTGCTGGTCAGCTGGGAATTGAGCACTGAAAACTCTGTGCTAATTGAACAACCTATGGTTTGAAGGTACAAATAAAAAGGCATTCAACATGTCCAGCTTAGCCCAGGCAGCCTCACGGTTCCTGTTACTATCTTAATGCTAGTATGAGGAGGTATATGTATATTTTTAATTTGTCTCTATTCCTTTCACCATTTATTTCACTTGCACTGAAATTAAAAATATGTAGACTGCGAGACTTTCCCCAGAGCTCATATCATCTCTGGTAGTTGATCCACAACATTCAGTGTATTTCTACCTGTTATATATAAGGAATAAGTAAAATGAATGTTGTTGGAGAAGCTGTGTCTAATCTAAAGAAGTTATGATGTGAGTGGTTTAGAAGGAGTTTGTCAGTTTACCTTTTGAGAGGTGACTCTTCTCACCTCCCACACTTTTTTCCCTTCATTAGAGCTCCAGAAGCTTTCATTTCCATTCAGCTGGAGAAACAGGGACCCCGAGACAGGATGCTGAACACTTTCACTCAAAAGAGAGAAGCACTGGGCAGCAGGCTGCAAAACCCTGTGAGTACTTCAGGAGGCTCCTCAGCGATTTTGAGAGGCACTCTTGGCTTTTGGCATGTAGGCAAAGTGCTAGCTTCGAGT